TTAAACGATTTTGTGAGTCTATTCACTCAGGGAAAGCAGAACCATATCTGCCTGCAAATGAATGCAAACCAAAGCAGAGGAATAAACAGCACAGTAGAATATTATTCCCTCTCTTTGATTTATGGTACATATTCTAAAAGATGCAGTTCCTTGAAGATATTAAGTGCCAATGTTCTCTTTACTATTTTTATGTTTTTATCCAATAACATTATTTTGAAGCAATCCTTTGATTGAGCTAGTCTATGCACAAAGTGTGCACATTGTATTTCAATCAGTAAACTTTCTGTGAGCTGCAATTTTTTGATGTGAATATATGTATAAATATAGCAAAACATTGTCCAGGAAATGTACTCTTTGATTAGTGGGGAAGGAAAGCATATGGGTGATTAGATGCTCTTCTTATTCCTCCAAGTTTAAGAAATGGGGCCATGTCCTTCATTTCCTGAGTTTACATTCAGCAAGTTTTACTGGGGGAGAGAAGATTTGGTAAACAGGCTTTGGGAAGAGTGTGATTTGATAAGCTGTTTATGCTGGACCTGCTGTAACTTAAAACAGTGGTTTCAAAGTTTGCTTTAGTTCATTTGAGCAAATTCTTAAGCCTTTTAAATGATTTTTTTTAAAAGCAAATAGAATTCTGCTGGTAATATACTTTCTTTTTCACCCTTCATAAAAACAGGTTTTCATGGGTCAAGCTTAAGAAAACTCCTTGGGTTAATTCCTCTAGGGACTCCTTGTGACCAAATGCAGGCTCAGCTGTGTTTCAGTGGGGACTCTTGTCCCCATTCAAACCTCTGAACCAGGACCTCCAAGGAATGGGCAGAAGGGAACATTCAGAAGCTACCCTACCCCAAGGGTCAGTTCCTCTCCTTCATATTCATGAGAATTTTCAGCCTTTGGGCCATTAAATCCACTTCCATTACCATTGCAAGGTTAAAAGAGGACCAGGAAAGCATCCAGGGGACTGCCTCAGTATAGATTTGGTTACACTTTATTTCAGCGTGTGACTGCAGCTTGTGTAGACACATATCTGAAGTCAATTTACATAAACTATTTTTGTACTGCTGGCAGTGTGGCTGTGGGGCTGCAAAACTTCTAAGAACTGAGGACCCATTTGGGTGATTTACCCAGGCTGACTTCTTCTTGGGGTTATTTATACCAAAAGAAGCCTGATATCAGATTATACACCTGCTAGCACAGTATTCTCTCTCTGAAAGTGATCAAAAAGGAAAAGTACAGGAACAAGGTAAGCACAGGAAGTTTCTTTACCACATTGCTCAACTGCCTTCAGCAGTTTCTTTTTTAGAGGCTTCTTAAGTCAGAAGTGATTTTAGTGGATTCCCACCATGAGTTTTTCTGGTCACTTATTCAAGTCATGTCAAGTTCTGACATCTAGCACATCCCATGTCAATGAGTTCTACAGTTTCTCTACATTGTGTAAGGAAGACTACTTCATTTTACTGACTTGGCATTTCTTTTCCTGTAACGTAACTCTATGTCCCCTGCTCTCGCATGAGAAACACGAGTGAATAATTATTTCTTATTTTCGTTGCTTAGTCATGATTCTGGGTTCCCTAAAAATACCTTTTGACTGCCTCATCATCTTTCTTTCATTATGAAAATTTTTAGCCTATTTAGTAATTCCTGGCATGGAAATATTTCCATTCCTTGCTACCTTTTCATGTTCCTTTTGCTCCCTTGTTATCGGAGTGCTCAGACACCTTGAAGACCTATGGAAATTAGAAGTGTGGAGTTGTAGTTTTTGCTAAGCTCCTGCTTCTGCAGCTGATGCTTCTTTAAATAGTCAAGTTAATTAGTTTACAATCAATTTGAGAATTTATATTTTAGCTTCAGTCTCATGTTGGCATTTTAACAGAAAAAACACTCAATAAGTTGTACTCCCAGAACCACTAATGAGGTGAAACTCAAGCATAAACTAGTAGTTTGAGGAAGAAGAGGAAGGATAAGAGAGAAGAAAAATATTTCATTTTGTCAGAATATGTGGTTTTGTGTATTTGTTTATACAAAAATAGAAATGCAGGTGTTGTTAAAGTAACATGGCAGTGCACAATGTGTTCTCTGTTGAATAGCTGTGGAGAAATGAAGAATCTTTTGCAGCAGATGGCTGCTGAATGAGTGTGCTGGCTCAACTTAGGCCATTCTAATGACAATGTCTTCCTCTTTAGGTCTTGAGCTCTCAGGTGCTAAAGGTTTGATGCTAACAGTGCTACTCAAACCAGACTGTGGTTTCCTCTGTAATTCCACTTTGTGTTTCTGAATTAATTGAATTGTCTGAATCAGAGAGGAAAGCAGAGTGAATAAAATGGTCAACTCGGTTTCCATTTCCTCAGTGCATTGCCGAAAGCAGCTTGCTGATTATAGCAGGGGGAAATGTTTATTGCTAATCAGCTTACTCTATATGGGGAGGTCTTGTACTAAAATGAAGTATAAAATCAAGGTATAGAAGCATCATAACTCCTCTAGCCAAAAGGAGAAAATATTTTAAAGTTTTTTATTGGTGCCATGCTGGCATTTATGCCATTCAAAACTTAGAACTAAATCAAAGTTGCATAGACTCCTCTGTCTTTGCTAATCAGAATTTTGATTAATTTTCTTTGGAAACTTCATTGCATACAGCAATTTTATTTTATGAGATTGTTGAATGTTCCCATAAACCAGCATTTTTCAAACTGTAATTCAATGGTTGTTGCATAGAAATGCCAAAAAACTGATCAGAATCAATGATCTCCTGTAAAATGTTGCCTCAGGTTAGCTGTCAACTAAATTGAATACCCTTGTTAACTATATCCATCTTTGTAACAACTTTTTTTATTGTCACTTGTATTTTTTTCAGGGATGATGCTATGCATTTAAAACATATAATTAGAGATCTATTTAAAACATAGTAAATCTTTGCAAAGCAAATCTGCCAGACACTGCTTTGGATTCCACTTAATTCTGGATCTCTGATGAATCAGCACTGTTTGTCTTTCAGGCTACACTCTCCAGTAAATATTTAGTACCCTGCTGTCTGGACTTAATACAATTTAGTTCATGAAACATCCTTCAGGAACCAACAGACAGGACACTGCATCAAGATGTTTCTTACTCCATTTCAGTAGTTCAGTGGTTGCATTTGACTACAATAAAAAAATAAACAAACAAAAGAAATTAACCCAACTGAAGAAAAACAACAACAACAACAAAAAAAGCAACCCACAAAACACCAAACAACCCCAAAGGCTAGAAAACCCTATACTCATTTATCTGTGGTGGAGTTTTAAATTTTTATGCAGAAGCTGGCATTCTTTTGTGCTACATAGAAAGTTAGGATTTTTGTTTGAGATCCTTGGAAATTGTATTTTGAAATAATGAGATATTCTTAATAGAATCAAGTCTGCAGTCTATTTTTTTCATTGTGGAAACTTGCATTGCTCTTAAATCAATGTCGATTGTTCCTTTATAGCAACAGTTTCTGACTCAATGCAAAATAGGGGTTAAAGCCCTTACATTGGTATACACTTATTATTGGTCAGGAACATGCGGTGTTTCATGTGGGATATTTTGGTGGGAATCATTCATGTACTGGTTAAACTGGACATATTTCTCAAAATAGTTCTTTCTTTTTTTACCTTTTGATTGATAATCTGTAGACATTTTTTATTGTATTGAAATAGGGCAGCGTTGTAGACTGTGCTGTAATATATCCTCTGCTTTGATGACATGAAAATGTGCCTCTCACCAGTCAGACCCAATTAAGCCAGCTGCTGCCCTGAATCGTGGGTTGTGCACAGGAAAGACACGAGAGAGGAGGGTTTTGGCACGAGGTCATATTACAGAGGTAATCACTAGGAGCCAAACCACTGGAATAAAGGATTTGGCAATGAGCAGTTGCCACACTGGAGAGGAAAGAAAAGGGAGTTATGCCGGAATGAAGGATGTGGGGCTGGTGGTGAGTAGAAAGACAGAGGAAGTGACAGATTTCTGGGGAGACATGGGCAGTGCTGACCAAGTTCCCTGTCCTCCTTTCAGCTCTGCCTTTCCCTTGCTCACTGGCAGCAGGGAGGAGCAGTGGCAGTGGAAAGCTCTTCTGATGTGGCTCCTTCTGGTGTTTTTCCCAAGCAATTAACCAAAAGGGAGAATCCAAAGGAAGGAGTTTAGGTAGCTGCAAAGTAGGGAAAGGGTGCAGCACAGCGCCTTTTTTGGGTTCCATGTCTCTGCTGAGCTGTCTGTGCACCCCAGTCTGGGGACTGGTGCAACACAACCTCCATTGCTTAAGAAATGTGCATAAGACCATAGCTGTCATTTCAATATTCACTGCTTTATTGCAACTTTCCCAAATAACCATCAGCAGTGAGTAAAGCTAATAAAAAAGATAGTGTTGGTTAGATTGCCTATACTTAAATTTTATCACATTTGTGTTGAGAAAGAGAAGTTCATTTCCTAAATCATTCCGAGAGAGATTGCATGGTCATAGAAGTCAAAGAAAATTGGTTAACTTTGCCATCTCCCTAAATATCCCTACACATGACTTTGCATATCTTTAAAATACCATTGTACTGACACTGCTGAAATCTTCTTTTGAAGGTGTAGCTTTGTTAACAGATTCGAAAAATAGTGCTACATGCCCATTCTTCTCATTAGAAAAGTTGAAGGATATTTTTTTCTTTTTCTGTATATGTGATTGGTAATCTTCATAGTTTTATACTGACTACTCAAAGTAATATAGCAATTAAAGCATAGTTTACTTAACAAAAGTTCAGGTATATTAAGCAGTGAGACACACTGGTAACTAAAATAAGTCATAACATGTCTATTGTCTCTGTTATTATAAAACTTTCTTATTGAAGTTCTGTTGTTCAATAGCATTATAATAAAATCACAAGGATAATGCACAGGCATGCATGATACTTGATATAATTGTAGGAAAATCAATTGAACCAAATATTCTCCTTGTCTTCATGGTGTCCTCATGGATTTATGTTTCTGTGTCTCATTCCCAGATTTGGAGAGGGTTATTCTGTCAAGGTTTGGCTTAGCAAAGAAATAAGTTATGGAAGAATGATTTTGGACTGTCTACAAATGCATTTTCCTGGAACACAGTTTAAGGTACAGATAAAACTCCAAATTGTAGTATACGGCAGGATTAATTTGGGGCTTGTAAGAACAGTATGTACATGTTTGGATATTTACATGTTTGGATATATTTATCTTGGGAAAAGTACATATTAATATCTATTTTATTTTTCTATTAATCAATTCATAAAAAATTGACTTGTGATGGTGGTTGAATCAACTCCAAACAGGAATTTACGCAATGTAAATAAAAAGGCCTTTTCTCTGACTGAAAATTTCCTTTTGTTTTTATTATTGAAGTTTAACTCAAATCTCTGTTCACCTGAAGTAAGACTACAGTGTAGTCACTAAGAGTATTTGCTTTGATTGCTTTCAAGGCCCAGAGTTCATAAGTCTCAGCCTTTACTGAGAGTCTTTGATTTAATACAAAGCCTTATAAAAGACTTATAGCAATTATATTTCAATAAACACTCTCAAAGGCTTTTATTTTAACTGTGTTTAGGAAAAGAATCATGGGAAACAATGTCTATCTTAGAGATGAACCTCTTTGTGGGCATAAGTCTGTATTGAGATCAGACAGCTCTGTGTCTGCATATGTTCAGCCTTTTCTCAGACTGCATTGTAGCAACACTAGTCTGTTAGATTCAAATTGCTCTGAAGTTTTATATCTTTTATGAGATTAACAAGCCGTCACCTCACAAAATCTGTACTCTCAGTATGAACCACTCTTTGTTCTATGAATGTGGGCAAAATATGTTATTTTTTAAAAGCTCATATTTTCCAGATTAATCTGCAATAAGAGCCTATTGAAGGTAGACTGATTGTAAGCAAGTGTAGCTTCATCACCAAGCATGTTCACTTTTATCTGTTTTTATAATTTTTACTTTTTTTCAGGGACAGCATCTTAACCTGCTCGAGTACCATGTACCAAGAAGTCAGGGATGCTTAGCAGAGCTCTTCAGAGTCCTAGAGAATCACAAAGTTTTTCTCCAAATCAAACACTACTCCATTAGCCAAACCACATTAGAGCAGGTATTTTATGATTTCTCGTTCCTTTCTTTCCCATTTTTTTTTTTTTTGTCTAAATGTGCTGCATATTGTAGTTATTGATGTAGCAGAATGTTCTGTCATTTGCTGGGTCACCTGAATGTATGCGATACTCCAGCAGTTCCAGGCCATCTCAGGTCCCACACTGCTTTTGTGCTGGAGGTAAGCACAGCAAAAGCATCACAGCAAGCCACACACTTGTAGTGTGCACAAACATAATCTGTGCTTAGATGAATCTGGAGCTGTGTGGGACAACAAGATAGCAGTGTGAACTGCCATCCCCACAGTCCAAAAGTTGGGATCTTACCAATGTCCTTGAAAAGGCTGAACCAGTCTCTGTAAATCGTGGTAAACCTTAGACTTTCAGAACATTTTCCTGTGAGAATTTTAAATGTACAAACAGACAGAAGAGACCAGACTATGAAATCCTATTGTGAGAAAAAGAGGAACACGTTGATGGCAACCATGGGATTTCTGGATGATTGTGATGTGTTACATCATCTCCATATGCAACTGCTTGTTATTCTTTCTGCAAACTGAGAGGCACATCTAGTCAAAATATTAATTTTCTGTGATTGATGGTGTGAATTTGTTCCTTTTTCCCATGTGCAAATCATTATTGAAGTATTCTCCTCTGTGCTGGTCTACTAACTACTTGTAAATGATCTGTTCACTGAGTGACTGCATATAAGATAATTTCAGCCTGTTTCTTCAGGCATTGTTCACTCAGATTTACTTCCTTTCCATTTTTCATGTTGATGCATCACCTCAGTCACCTGCCACCACTTCCTCTCTCTGACTGCCAGTTTTAAACAGGAAAATAGTTCTTCACAGCAACAAACACACTTTAAATGCACCCCAAGTTTGCTTGCATATGAAGAGGATCATTTGAATAAAGAAGAGCCATTTTTCCCTCTACATGCCACTGTGAAATATTTGTGTGGTTAAAAATGAAACAAGATTTTATGTAGGAAGATCTGTGTTTAAAAAACCCAAACCAATTCAAGGAGGCACATTAGTTTTTGAATCAGAAGTGTGCTTTCACCTTGAAATATTTGCACCCTCATCTGTAATATATTATTGGCAGAAACAACAGACTCAGATTCTTTAGGTATGTCATTCAAAGACAATTAAAACCATTGTTTCATATTTACTTGTGCATAAAATGCATTTTTCATTTCCTGGTAAATTATTTTACCATAATTTTTATCATTTATCAGCCCCTGTCTTAGCTGGAGAGGGGAAGAGGGATTATTTCTAGAGTTTATGACATGTTTTTAGAGGTGTTCCCTCAACATGAGTTATTAGTTATTTTGTCAAAAAATCTAAGGAGAGCAGCTAAGAAATGCCATCACCTATATCCCCAAAGTCTGAATTCAAGTACTTTTATTTTGAAAATAGTACTTTTTTCATGTCTTACAGGTATTCATTAATTTTGCAACACAGCAACAAGGAGTCTTGCATTCTTCACAAGGATCCCCTGTTGTTCATCATGATCACCTCCCAGTCTAGGCTCAGAACAGGATACAGCTTCAACATATATGTGTGTGTGTGTTTGCATATATGTACACAAAGCTACATGCAATAACTTTTCAACAGTGAACAATTTGTGTATGAGAAACAAATTGTAGAAGCAGAGGTGAGTTTTCGTCTGTAGGCCAGAAGGAATGATACCAGTTCTTGGTTAAGCAAGAAACTGATTATGTGAATCAAAAAATCCACCAAAAAAAGTAAAGTTTTCTTAATTTAACGGGAATTTTAAAATACAAATGGCATATTTAATGCAGAAAAAAAGAAGGCTGATCTGAAATGGCTGATCAGAAATGTCAGTGTATAGCAGATTTTTTTGGTGGTAGCTCTGCATTCGACTATAGTACTTTCTTGCATGCATACTTAATATCTAATTTTTACATGATAAGGCAAAAAAAACCATTTGAATGGTAGCAATATCTTGGCTATTTTATTTAATCACATAAATTGAGAGCCTTTCAATTTCTCTGTTAATTCAGTTCTGTGTTGTGACAAGCTAAATTAACCTTTTTGTTGTATAAAGGGTGCACTGTATTCCATAAGGCTTCATGTTAAAGAGGTTATTAGTGTACTAGCCTAGTCTGCCTTCCAGTCCTCTTAAGTAAATTTAACAAATTTTCATAAATCATGAAAATCATGTCATGATTGACAATGAGCCTAAGCCTGCAGGTTGCTGCTGGAAGTATTCTCAAGTACCTTTTTAATGACTTAGTTTGTTTTTCTCATATTTTTGTTTCCTTTTTCTTCAAAAAGAATGTCAAAATGCTGTTTAATGGGAACACTAAAGGACAATAAGATAAAAATTCAGACTGCGATCAATAAATTTCTTAATAAATATATTATGATGCTAGATACTTCAGACAAGGCCACAGCCTTCAGCCTGTACTTGTGTAAAATAAGTGAACATTTGATGGATGAAAACTCCTTGTGTATTGTGCTTGGAGAAAAAAAGAGTGAATTTTTTTGGTAGTAATTTTCTGCCTCATCCAAAACAAATCTTTGAAGCTTCTATGAAATTAACTCATGCCATTTTATTGGACTACACTGCCAAATAGCTGAAACCAGTGACTTAGAAGTTATTTGCTGCAATATGATTTTGGTTGGGCAGTGGTGAGGGAAGTTCACTTTGAGGTGGGAGAATTTGATTTTAAGTGGCCAATATTGCAGAGATGCTGCTATAATCCCCTGCTGTACAATGATAAAATATTAAAAAAAAAAATAAATTGTGTTTTATGCTTTGCAAGCTGACTCAGAAGACTGTTTATTGAGTCTTGATTTGTTCATGTTTCTTTGGCCCATTATGCTTTTTTAAAATCAGGAATTCAGGTTGCCTATTTAAAAAGATGAAATTACGTCCTTGAAAAATAAATAAATAAAATAAATTAAACCCCAAAGCAGACAGGCTTTGTCTGCATGTGCATATGGGTCAGAGTGAGCTTATGAAAATGCTTTATCATTACAATGGATTGGTAAAAAGTCAGAACTCTGCCAAGCTACTCAGGACCCAAAGCACCTAGGAACTGCTAAACCCCAACAGCTACCACCCTGGTAGAATCCCCATAGCACAATGGGATGTCCATATTTGATGTGGAAACAGTTATCTTTAATTTCTTCACGAGGCTGGGAGTGGAAGGTTTCTAAGGTGCCCAATTAGAACAAAAAACAGTCAATTTTACAAAGCAGATTGTGAGAGAAGTAGTGGACATGAAAGGAAAAAGAAGGCAGATGCAGGAATTTTGGGCACAAATAGAAATATGGCATCATTGAAGTAGCCTGCTTAATTTCAGCACCTCAGGATGGAAGAAACTGGGCATTCAAGGAACAGCCAAGGATCTCTTAGTCATAGTCTGAAACCACTCAACAGAACATTTCTGTAGCTCTTAACTGAAAAAAGTAGAAGGCAAAGTATGGCAGTCACATGAACAGGGCTTTTGGCTTTTTTATTTTATTTTTGTTGGTGTGTCTAGACTTGTAGACCACTGATATTATTACTGATTGATTTGCCTTGGGTTTTATTTTTGTTTTTATAAACTAGTAACTCTGTCTCAACCACCACAAGTCCTTAAAAAATGATGAAATGTACTCAAGGAAGTTTAAGGATTTAGGAAAGTAGATGGTTGCAATCCTTGCAGTGTGAGGCAGCTGAGCCAAAATATGTGATTTGTATGAAATTGTGGAAAGAGCACTTTTTCCTGCTGAGGAAGGGTGTCAAGCAGTTGAATTAATAAAACAGTCCTGCAGTTTTCTTTGACCAAAGGAAGCATAAAAGCACAAGACTCACTGTGGTGAGACTGAAAAATGATAGCCTAGCTGAATGCTCAGATAGGGGAGCTTCTTCAAGTCTTAGCTGTGTAACACTAATTAAATGTCACTTTTTTCTGATTAAAATATGAAAGATTATATTAGTTTAATAGATGAATACAGTAAATAAGGTTTGCTTCAGACTGATGGTTGAGTAAATTCAGTTAACAGTGTTTTTCTTTTTTTTAAATTACTTCATATGCATCTCAGGAGACCCAATTTAATTCAGGCAAGTAGCAAACAATATCTGTCTACCAATCCTTTATGGGTAAAGAAGGTCAAAATCTAATTGAGTGCCTGTGTACCAGGTTTTGTCTCAGAGACTATTTTCCCTTTCTTTAACTTGTGGCATTCCTAATGTATGCAAGTTTTAACAAAAGTATTTTGAAGATTTTTGGTTTATTCCTTTATTTATTTATCAAAATAAATCACTAAACTAGGAGTCTGGACAGAAAAGGTCAATTATACATTAATGATGAAAGAATCATTGAATTCATAATTCATGAAGAAATATCTCTTAACACCTCTGGATTTGGAATCAAACACAGCTGAGGATTTTAACAATACTTCTCTTGTGTGATTCTTGTTTGGAAAGTTTCATTTTATTTCAGCTGGAAATTTCTCTGACTGTGAAAGCAAGCTCTTCATCCTGAACAATAAACTAGAATTAAGCTCAAAGTTATAAAATCAGCTGAATATATGAAATACTCAACAGTAAAACTGGGAAGATGATAATCATACTTTTAAGGGACTATTCCACAGCCCAAGTCAAAAGAAGGCTTTGGCCAACCTTTGAGCAGATTGCTTCAGGCCCTCTTTTTATTTTCATGCAGTAATAGAATGATGTGACCAAAAATAAACAGTAGGTCTGAACTTTAACTCAAAGTATCACAAATTCTGTGGGGGTGGAAGGGTGATAGTATTAGTGGACAGGATGTCAAAACTCACAAATTACCTCTTTGAATATGGCTGCATTTTAAATTTCTGTACAGATTTTTTTTCTCCTGTAAAGAAAGAACTTATTTCTCTGGTTTGGTTCAGTCATGACCACGGATGATAAATTTTGCCCATGGTAGTGAAAGACGTATAACATGATTTTCAGGAAAGGAATTGGGTGTCTTTTGAGCTTGCTTGTCCTTGTGAAATTTGAATCACTGAGGTCTGAAATCACATAAATTTGGAAGCAGAATCAAACTGTTCCTGGAACTGCTCAACTTCTAGATCTGTCTAAAACCAATTTAGGTAAGGATATTGCTTTCCTGGTCTTTTTGTAGTAAGTAGTAAAGCTGACACTTTCTTTGATTCAGTTTAATATGATCTAATCTTTTTATGTCAGCACTTTCAATTTTTCTTTCTTAGCGAGATCAAAGCTAGCAGTGAAAAGATCTTACTTACAGTGATTGAGAGCTGACTAGCTCAGACCAACAACAGCTAAAGAGAAAATGCTTCCTGAGTTGTGTATTAGATCCTTGCATTACAAATAGAACTGATGCTGTTGCAGGTGCAATACGAGTGGGCAGCAGGTACAGAGCAGAAATCACAGCTGTCTCATTCTTGCACAGAAAGCAGACATCTGCTGCTATCAATGGGCCAGGTTCTGCTGAATGTTTTAGCAGATGAGTTCTCCATGCTGAATAATGATATGGGTCACTGAAACAAATCAAAGCATCTTTCTTCTTTATTAAATTTTTCTGTCTCATACTAATATTGTTCCAGCTTATTGCTACATGGAGCTATGTGCTGGGATAAATTCTGACTCCTTTTACAATGGTGCTGTAAAAGCCATGATCAGAGTCTGCACTGTAAAAGTATATGCACATCTTTAGCTTAGGCTGGTTCATATCTGCTTTCTATGATATACAAGTGGAGAAAGAGGAACTATAAGCTATATAAGCAAAAGCCAATAGGTGAGATTTCCATGTGCATCTGATTTACTCCAGCTATAGAACACCACACACACATAATTTTGCTGCCTGTGCATGCCATGGGCAATTTAAAGAAGTGCCTAGGGGTTAATGGACTATGAGGTGCCCAGCAGAGAAATGTAGGATCCTCTAACGTGCAGTGGTATAAGGTAAGATCAATCAGGAATCTTTTAACCCGCTTATTGAGGCAGTAAATGCTGGTTAATAGCGAAGTGTAATGCATGTAATTTGAGAAAAGTATCAGAAACACTTTTGTCCTTAGCATGTGCTGAAACAGGGAAATGCAAACTTTATTCCATATATAATTTTTGTATCATTCTTAATTCCTGTTCTACTTATGTTACTGTATGCAATTACCACACCCCCAAAAAACTTCAGTGCTTCCCTCAGACTAAAATATTTTGAAATGTGATTCAACTTCCACAAAATGTGAAAGCTTGTGGAGTTTTTTTACCTTCGATTTTATTGAGAAGATGTCTTATTCTTAAGACTTACATAATTATAGCTGAGTGTGTGAGTGAAGGAGCACGTGACATTTATGCTGAACCTAATAGAATATGCATGTAATGCTCTAGCTGAGGAGTTGTAGTCACCTGATACTTTGTAGCTAATGATAATTGTCTAATAAGAAGAACTTGAAATTGTTTTCTTAGAAGTCTGCTATCATAAATAATTGTGTTAGCAAAGTGTGAATACAAAACAGATTGAATCTAGCTAAAAGAGTATTCTCAGGATGTGAAAGGTAAGAATCAAGGT